GGGGGGGCGATGGCCATGCCGCAATTCCTTCTCCTCCATTCTCCTCTTGGGATCTTGGGCACACACAACGCGCCCGGCATGAGTTTAAGTCACCGGGTCTGAGACTCGAACCGCGGTCAACTACGTGGGAGTTCAGCGACATAGCCATTACACTAACTGCTGGTCCCTCCAGAGAAGTTTGTGAAGTGCTTAGCACATGCTGACAAATGTAAGTGCTCCTGTACTGGTAGTCGGATTTTTGTGGTCTGATTTCACCGTCTTTCCTCTTCTAAGCCCACTCCTTGCTGAGGTAGAGTGAAGGGAAAGACCCCCAGCCCAGAGGTCTGGCCGAAGTTCTGAGGTTAGGCAGAGGGTCCTTGTCCCTGCAGACTGGGCTATGGTAGGGTCACGCCTATCGGAAACAGGGAGTCTGGAGTTCTCTGGACAATGTCCAATGTTGCCCTAGAGAGCATCCTAGTCAGGCCGCGCCCTGGAAGGGAAGGCAGGCCCATTCTGGGCACACTTTTCCCCATAGTGCCAATTTCTAGAAAGCCTGGAGCTACTTCTCTCCTTTCTCGGACACCAGAGGCCACCAGGTTCTGCTGGCTCCACCTCGCACACCCCATCCTCCTTTTTCCCTGGTCTGCAGGGTCTCCATCTCCTCTAATAGGAGCACTGTCCCTGTCCTGCTCACATGTCACACATTGTCATGGAGGGGACAGACCCAAGCCTGGCCACCAAGGCCCATGAGTATACGAGCTCATCCTCACCCCTCGTGCCAGCACCTTTTGTCCGTACTCTGCTCAGGCAACTCCTCCTGCCTGGAAAGCCCTCCCTCTACTCCATAGGTTGAAATGCCCTACCTCGGGCCAGCAGTGGTGGCACAGTGGCTCACAGTGCCGGGCCCATGTGGGAAGGGCCCAGGTTCACCTCCAGGCTCACCTGTGTACACTGGGTGATCCAGGCTGGCTGGGGCTGGGGCTGGATCATGGCGCGAGGACCCTGTCTCTCCTGTGTCTTTCTCATGGAAGAAATAAATTTAAAAAAGAAAAGGAAAGGAAAGAAAGCTTCAGAGCCAGCAGACGGCATGGAGGTTAAGGAGCTGGATCCCACATGGCTGCCTCCGTGGTCTGAATCCCACACCCAGAGACTTGAGAATCGTGCTGGGAGTGTGTGCATGTGTGCCCAAGATCCTGAGAGGAGAATGGAGGAGAAGGGATTGTGGTGTGGCTATCCCCCACTTTCTCTCTCTCTCTCTCTCTGCCTCTCAGTCTCTGACAAGTACGCATAAAAAAAAAGAAAAGAAAAGAAAAGAAAAGAAAAAAAAAAAAGCTCAAGGGGCTAAAAAGTATCCCAGGAATGGGTCCTCTAGCCTGTGCCCTGATTCTCCCAAGTGGAAAAGGAATCCTCTTTTACCCTTTGATCTTCTTTCCTTCCTCCCTTTCATTTTGTTTCTCAGTTTCCCTGTCCTCTGTCTTCGCCCAGACTGAAGACAGCTCCTGTAGTCGAGGCGCGTAGGTGAATGAATAAGTGAACGATGACCAGCTAGTCTGTTTCTAGTCTCCCTTCCCCTCGAGTCTGTCCAGCCAACACTTGGGAGTTTTTCCTTAAGTACCTTTTGGGTGTTGCCGCCTCCCTGCTCAGTCTTTTCATAGATCCTGTTTCCTAGTGTACTCCGCCAGCTGAGTGTGCCTCTCCCCGTTGTCATCACGGTCATGGTATGCCCCGTGCAGCTCATGGGTCATACTCACCAGCAGGCGTGCTCCTTCTCTAGGCCAGCTGGCCTTGTGGAGCCTCTGAATTTGGAAGGGAAGCCAGAGGGGAGGGGAGTACCAGCAATACCTAGTTGAGAGTACAGGAATCAGAATACCAGGTCCGCAGGTACTGTGGTGGTGAAGGTGGCTGCATCCCACATGGCCGACTGCACAGCTCAGGTCCCAGACCCAGGGGCTCAAAACACACACTGGGTGCGTGTGTGAGCATATCCAGAGACCCCAATGGGAGAAAGGATTGCAGTGTGGCCATCTCCGTGAGGGGTGGGTGATTTCTCACTTTCCCTCTCAACTCACAGTGAGCACACACACTTTTTGCCAAATTAAAGGGAAAAAAAGGTTTTTTTTTTATTTCTCACTTTCCCTCTCAACTCACAGTGAGCACACACGCTCTCTGCCAAATTAAAGAAAAAAAAAGGTTTTTTTTTTCTTTATTCATGATAAAGTGTGTGTGCACACACGTAAGAGTGAAGGAGAGAGAACAGTACTCTCCGTAAGGTCCGGTCACACCATGATCCCCGTCCTCCAGCCTCCAGCCCATCAGATCTCCGACACGTGTGCATGTGCCCCTGTGCTTTCTGACGGGGCAGTGCATCGCCACAATAGCTTGGAGCCGGTCCAGCTCTGCCAGCTCTTGATGTCAGAAGCGCAGTCAGATCTCATGCCATGGCCAGGATGGCGCATGAGGACAAAGCACCTTCAGTGCATACCGCCATACCTGCTCCACCACAGACCCCCAAGACCTGCTTGACGTTCCACTCCCAGAGGCTTACGACCCGAGAAGCGACCGTTTGGAGGCGCACTTATCAGAAGCTATGGACACGGATTCAGAGGTTGGTCTCAGATGGACATGTTTATTGCTTGAGTGGCTGCGTCCTTGGAAACAGAATTTAAGTCCAACTAGAGAAGGCCACCAGAGAAGGTTCGAGGAAGTGGGAGGTTTGGTCACAGGGGAGGGGGCATGGCAAATACCTAGAGAGAGCAGACATGATGGTGCAGCCTAAGCCAGCCAGCTAAGTAGCCCCTCGTGGCTGGGGTGGCGGGGTTTAGGAGAAAAGAGATGAAGAAGATGGGGAGATCTGGGTGTGAACAGACCGGCGAGTAGGACCGCAGAGGCCCATGTGCCAGGTGTAGGAGTTACAACTATTTGGAGGACAGTAGGAAGCCATAAGAGATTTTTTTTTTTTTTTTTTTGGAGAGGTTTTTGCTATAGGGCGCATGTGCTTGCCAGAAAGACAGAGAGAGACAGGGAGACAAAAAGCAAGAAATCACCCCCCAGGGGGGAAGGCCACGCCATAATCTCTTCTCCTCCATTCTCCTCTTGGGATCTTGGGCATGCACATGTACCTGGCGTGAGTTTAAGCCGCTGGGTCTGGGACTCAAACCGTGGTCGACTACATGGGAGTCCAGTGACATAGCCATTATGCTAACTGCTGGTCCCGTCATAAGAGATTTTTTGAGCAGGGAAAGGACCTGAGAGAATCTCAGCCTCTCCATAAGCCTACCCTACAAAGGGTCAAAAGGGGGTGAGAGGAGACCGTGGAGCCCCAGCATTCAGCCTGGGGAGACCTAGGGCCCTGCTTCCCAGTCTGCACCCACACTAGCAGCTTTGTTCCCTAGAGACTGCTTTTAGCCCTGGCCTGGAAGGAACTTGGGCTTTTCTGGGTCTGACTCCAAGCAGGGCCAGCCCCAGCCAGTCGGGAAGAAAAGAACTCTCTCTCTCTCTGGAACTTGCAGGGAGGTGCCAGGTAGACAGGCAGATTCTGGGCCTGTGCGTGTCTGAGAGCACGCACTGGCACAGGGGTGGGGGAAGGGTTGCAGGGCGGGTCCTAGCTGTCTGGAGGAGTAGGGAATGAGTAAGACTGTTGGGCGGGCAGGAAAGCCTTCTTTGCCTTTAAAAGCACACAGTGTTTTTCTTTTTTCTTTTTTTACATTTTTGCCATAGGGCATGTGCACTGGCTAGAGAGAGACAGAGAGAGGGAAAGTGAGAAGTAGAGGGTTGACCACACCACAGTCCCTTCTCCATTTTCCTCTTGGGATTTTGGGTACTTATGCACATGCACCTGGTGCCAGTTTCAAGCCACCAAGTCCAGGACTTCAACTGCAGTTGGCCATGTGGGAGTCCAGTGCCATAACCGCTACCCAAAGGCAAGTGTCCTAGCAGTCAGAACAAGTTTTGCTGAGTCAGCTGCCGCTGATGCCAGGGGAGCTAGCAGGGACTGGGACAGGAGAGCCCCTAATCCCCAGGAGATTTTGCAACCTGAATCCTCCTGCACTGCAGGTATACATGGTGTCGGACTCCAGGAGGTCTGGTGGGCAGGCGGGGCAGTTGTGTGTGTTTAGTATTTCCGTTCTGGTTTGCACACCTGTTCAAATCACCTGCTCCCAGCAGGCTTTTCAGCATCCTTTCTCTAGCCCTTTGTGTGCCCCTCCCTGACACTTTGTGAATGAGGTCCTGGTGCTAACTCCTGCTCCCTGACGCTCAGGGTGCTGAAGGAGCATATCCCTCTTCTCTCCTCTCCTGAGCGCTGGGCTTGTCTGTCCATCCTGCTGCAGGTCCTACAGGAACCTCACACTCATATGCTTAAATTGAAACTTATGGTCTCCACCTCCACCCCTCCTAGTCTCCACCCGAAGTGACTCCTCTAACTGCTAGATTGCTCGAGCCAGAGGTCTGGCATCTTCCTTGACTCTCTCTTCCTCATTTCCAGTGTCCAGCCAATCGTGTGGACTCTGCCCCTCTAAAATATTGGACTCCACCTGTTTTCCTCTGTTCCTGCAGCCCTTCCTCTGGTGTGGGGGCGAACCACTGCTCATTCATCCCTTCACCTGCCAGCACGTTGGCTCTAAATGACAGCTGACCACATGACCCCCTTGTTTAAACATTTTTCCATGCCCACCCTGGTGGCAGTGGGGGCATATGGATCGGCAGTGCTGCAAGTCACATGGCTGACCCTGGGTTCGGATCCTGAGTGGATCTAAAATACACCAGGTGCATGCGTGCCCATGATCTTGACTAGCCAGAGGGCTGGAGGAAGGGGATGACAGTGTGACAAGACCGTGTGGGGGGCTTCCTGTCTCTCTTGCTCACTGACGTGTTCTCTCTTGAAAGAAAGAAAATAAATACACGTCAAACAAGCAAAACAAGAAACATCTTCCCATGGCGTTCAACAACACAACTAAATATCACTGACGCCGCGTTCAGGTATAGAAGTCATGTGCAAAAGCGTGTGACTTCATGTATATAAAGATCAAAACCAGGCAGCACCTCTGTCTGGTTAGGCGTCTGGAGAAGTCTCCCTTGGAAGGGAGGTTGGGACTCTGAGGGGGAGCCGGTAATCCGGGTGAGGCAAGTGGAGGCCAGCTCGTCAGAGCTGAGTTTTTCCTGTTGGCGTGAGCTTTGGTATGACTCAGCTTGGCATTGCTCCTAACCCCATCTTTATTCAAAATTTCAGTATTTTGTCATCATGGATGTGTTTTGCACTAGTTATGATTTTAAAAAAATGTATTTTGGGGCCAGCAGGTGACATGGTGGTTAAGGGCACTGGATTCCCACATGGCTGACCATGATCCAAGTCCTGGACCTGGAGGCTTGGGCTCTCTCTCTCTCTCTCTCCTCTTTCTCTCTGGTCAAAATTGAAAAATAATGATAATAAATAATTTTTTAAAATGTATTAAAATATTATTTATCTTGAGGACTGAATTTTTTGGCACCCTTCACCCCTACATTTTACATGGGGAGTGCCCCCCAAAATTTTACATGAGGACTGAGTGTCTCTCTTGTCACACCCTATTGCTGACCCTGCTGGTAATGTTGTTCTTCATTAACATGCTGGTGACATGGGTGTGTTCCGTTCGTAACAACTCATTAGGCTGTGTACACTTCTGATTTTAGCAATTTTCTGTATACATATTATGTTTCATTTAAAATTTTTTTTTAATTTAAAATCTTTCCATGGTTGCAAGGGAATCTCCTGTCTACTTCCTCCAGTGTCCCCCAAAATGACATATTTGTTGAATGAATGAATGTAATATATCAGTTAATTTCATCTTCAAAGAAACTCTAGAAGTATTTTTCTTTCCATTTTCCAAAGGAGAAGCTGGAGGCTCGGGGAAGTAAAATAACTTGCCTCAGTTACACAGGTAGTAAGTGAGAGTTATAGATCTCAATTTAAAAAATAAACAAACACTGATGAGTAGTGCTTGTTCAGGCCCCTGGCCCAGCACCAGCTCGAGCAGGTTATCTTGGTAAATTATATGAGCCTCATATTCCCTTTAGATTAAGACTTCCTTGGGGAACCAGCAATTAGCATAATGGCTATGTCACTGGACTCTCACGTAATCAACCGTGGTTCGTGTCCTGGACCCGGTGGCTTAGAACTCACGCCGGGCGCGTGTGCGTGCGTGCCCAAGATCCTGAGAGGAGAATGGAGGAGAAGGGATTGCGGCGTGACCATCCTCCCTGGGGAGTGATTTCTTGCTTTCTGTCTCTATGTCTCTCTCTGTCTGTCTGGCGAGCGCACACGCCCTATAGTGGAAAACCTCTCCAGAAAAAAATAAAATAAAATATTCCTGTGGTCCCTCTGCCTAGGAAGTTATTTGACACAGAAAAGCAGTTAAACTGTTTTATAAGTTGGTAAACTAAAGAATGAAAGACGAAGGAAGCCAGCAGTGGTTTAACTCCTGGGATTTGGGGAGTTTTGGAGACAGAGCTGCTGGCTGTGTGTCTTTGGGCATATTACTTAACCTAAGTCTTAATTTTCCCAACTGCAAAATGGGAATAATATCAGTATTCACCTAAATATCGATTGTGAATATGAAGTGAGAAAATGGCAGTTGGGTGGCCATACAGTAAATACTTAAAAAATGGTCACTATTATCATTTCCAGTTCAAATCTGATATACTTCGGAGTTGCAGGCATGGCCTCTCTCAATTTCCATGCATGGTTTTTGGCATCTCGGGTTGGAAGGAGAGGACCTGATGCAGCCCTGAGGAAGGCAGAATGCTCGAACGGCCTGGAAGTCTGACTTTATAGTCCTCTCCCCCTGCCAGCAGTGCCATCTTTGATGAGTTGCTTATTCCCTCCCCATGAGCCTTGGTTTTTTTCCTCTGTAAAATGGGATGCAGAAGAATCTTGACCTCATGGGATTCTGGGGAGGAGTGATGGCTTGGCCTGAGTCTAAGCACACAGTAGGCCCTTTATAAAGATAGAGTCTGAGGAATTAACTTTTCAGAGCCTCTAAGAAGTCTAGAGACTGAAGGGAAAAAACAAAAATCATGGCTTGGGTCTGTCTTGTGCTTAGCACTGTATTTCTCCAGAGAAGTGGATTGACACTGCCCTTCATGCTGATGTAACTTTTTTTTTTTTGCTATAGGGCACGTGCACTTGCCAGAAAGACAGAGAGAGACAGAAAGTAAGAAACCACCTGCCAGGGGGACATGGCGACGCCACAATCCCTTCTCCTCCATTCTCCTCTCGGGATCCTGGGCATGCATGCACATGCACCCGGCGTGACTTCTTTAAGCCACCGGGTCCGGGACTCGAACTGCGGTCGATTACATGGGAGTCCAGTGACATAGCCATTACACTAACTGTTGGTCCCATGCTGATGTAACTTTTTAATTGTGCAAAATACCTTCTCCCACATCATTCTCACATCTTTTTTTTTTTTTTTCATTCTCACATCTTAAGCCAAAGGCAAGACCAGAATTATTCACAAATCTACAGCTGAGGAAACTGAGGAACAGAGAAGTTAAGTCACTTGCTTGAGGTCACAATGAAGGAGGAATTTGGTAGAGAATCGAAGGTATAAAACCAGAGCCTCTTGACTT